CACCGATATGAAGAGAAAACGATTAACAGCGTTTTCCATGTCCGAAGACTTGGTCCTCCTAGCACTTAAAAATACGCGGAAAACGGTTAGGAACGTTTTAAGTCCGTGGAATCCTCCCAGCACTTAACCGGAATCTGTCTCAGTCCGCCCGGACTCCGGTCGGAAAACGGTTTAGAGTTTCGTACGGGATACTAGGAAGCAATTTTTAAAGTGGGTAACATATTACAATATTGAAGTTATATCAATAACAATTGTATAGCTCGTCTTGTACCTTCCATGATGATTTATTGGTGTAAAGCTTACATATTGCATATGTAAATAATTAATCTGCTAGTTATCTTGTTGAAAGATAAGAAATTTCAGATGTTTAAGGCATTCCGGAGGAAACCAAATTTAAATCTGAAATGCACAAAGAAGAAAAAACCATTGCATTGCATTGACAACAATTAATAACAAAAAATAGCAGTTGTGTTAGGAGGCATAACATGCATAATGTATGTTCCTATTTACGAGGGCCGTTCAAAAATTACGCGGACTGTGCTATTATGTACTCTTACATACGTCATATAGTTATGAAATTTCTCAGGAATATGTATCTTAAAGATTCCAATAAATTTGGGGCAAAATTTCTGTATTTTAAAAAAGTCTACTAAATTTATCGGTATTTTGATATCGCCGATGGAGAGGTACGGAGCACGATAAAAAATTTGAAGAAAAAGCATGCGGAAACAAAAATTAAACTCAGTAATTTTCTATCATTCGCGATATTTTTCGACAATTTTCTCAAATGTATTTTTAAATTGTTCTATTATTATGTATTTAGATTTCTGTCGTGATATTTGAAGTACTAACAGACTTATATAGTGATTTTTCTCTGATGCGATTCCGGTGAAAACTACTGTGAAAATGACGTCTCCTGAATCAGCGCACCACACTTTTGTTAAATTATGCCATAATAAATAAATTGCTAGATTCTCATCCGAATTTTTTTTAAAAATCGATGTGTCTTTTTTATATATATTTTTTATTTTTTCCATTTTGCAGATTTTTTGTTGACCTGGTAAATCGGTGAAATTTTATCCACTATACCCGAATAAATGTCATAGTAAAGGTTCAGTTATCTCTTACTTCATATCATCACTAATCTTTTTCAACGAATGACCCTTGTTTAAAATATATACGCATGTATTACAGCAATTTTCATCTTTTCAGCTGTCAAAATCATGTCGACTTTCGCGGGATTTAAAACGAAAGTATAATGGTAGATGAATATCGATCCCGATCAGAATTAAGACGAAGAAAAACCGAAATAAAAAAATCGAGGTGGGGTATAAAATCGGGGCGGGCGGGGATGAGAATCTATGAATATTTTAATTATGGCCTTATGTGTAATGCTCGAGATATCGCCAACATACATCTGTAGATCCAATATATCCATAATAAAACATGTAGTAAACTAGGGTATTCTTGACATTCGTCCACAAATAGCAAATAGAAATTTTAGACCATAAAACCTCTGTAAAAAGGCTATACGGGAGGACGGGAAGAAGATTATCGACGAAAACTTTATCTGGACTGTAAAGAACGTGATTGAGAGTCACCATTATCACACTATATCTCATAAGTACCTGCAGTGTTTGGTTTTAAAACAAAATAGAATATTCTTTACTTGTTTAATAGATTTTAAGCTTGACAAGAAATGGTGTTTGGATGTTGAGTGGGTAAGGTAACACAAACTGTACAGGTACTCTTGGGAAAATGTTGAGAAAATGAAAGTGCAATCATATTTTTTTATAATGCCCATGACGTCGAAGATTTTGCTTCTCCGTGTCTTAATAATATGTCCTGAAAAATCACTCAAAATTGATACTAATTTACAACATTTTAATGTGAAATTTTGCAGACCATATAGATAAAGATTCCTTATATAATGTGTGACATTTTGCCAGATTTTGTCGTAAAATATTTTTTTCTGTGCAACAAGTCCGCGTAATTTTTGAAAGGCCCTTGTATTTATTTTGTAGCATCTCTGATTTATGCTTGGTCATTCAAATTCAAATACTGGTAAAATTCCATTTAACCTTTTATTGCGAGACAAATTCATTGTCAAATGTGCGGTGTTAACTTTAAAATAAATAAATAAAAAATGACAATTGCTTTAACATTTAATTGCCCACGGATTTTTTCATTGAGATGTATAGATGTTGTCTGTATATTAATCCTTCTCCAATAGAATTTGTGTGTTCCTAAAAAACTGTATCACTTGAAAATTCTTCATACTTTTCAAAGCTATTCTCCTCTTGCTAGTTCGGTGAATGCCTTCAAAATGAATCAAATCAATTTTTTTTTTATAAAACACGGTTAAAATGCTGCTTAATAGAAAGATATGGGTACAATCCTTTTATTTTGAAAGATACATAATATTGACATGGAATTCCATTTGTTTAAATCTTCCTTTTATTTAAATTGTTAATTTCTAAAGTAACTTTAAAATGCATAACATAAAAAATTTGAGAAACAGAATTAACAAAATAAAATGCCTTCAAAAATAGATAAAACAAGTTTTGTCTTTTGCTGTCACGCATACCATGGATCCCTATTCAATTATAATTTGAAACGCATAATTTGAATATGAAGCGTGCATGCAAATACTTAAATGTTTTTAATTGTCTGTTCCCTCTCTTTTTTCTAACCTACCAATAAAGCCTCTACCGTAAAATGAATAGTAATTGAATCATTATTTTTAAACGGTAATGTCTTATGACTTACAACAGGACGAACCTGAAGACAAATGTTTAAGTTATCTTTAAGATATGAAAAGTTCTGTTGAAATCTGCTTCCGGGATATAGGATAAAAGGTCAGTATTTTCTTACATTGCTACATTAATATATACTGTATAACTCGCCGCTTTATGCCTGTAATTGTTTTGTTTATATAAATTAATTATTGTTTCATTATTCCTCATTATACTTTACATAATTCATATCTTCGCATGTGTGTTCAGGAAGCATTCAAATCCTATATCGTGAAATTTTGACTTTCTTTTAAGATAATAGAGTTTGATAATTTATAAAAGTCGCTAATAAACTTAAACTACGAGGTTTGTTCGAAAAGTTCGTGGACGATGTCCATATAAAAATAATATAATATGTAAAAATATTTGTTTTGTTGATGTGTGAAGTTTCATACCATTCGATTTAACAGAAATCAATTTACTTCATTTTAAAATCAACATGTTTTGTACGGAGCACACTTAAAGGAATGTAACGTCAAAACATTGCGTCAAAAATTTCTAAAAAATACTATCCCTATACATTTCACAGTATACAGTAATCCAATACCCACTCAATGAATCCTTTTTCTTATACTTGACTTTCATTTTTAAGAATTTCCTTTGTTCATGTTTTAATTTATTTTATTACTTAACTCTGCTTTCACATGATACACAACTCTGAAGCGTCTATGTCTTTCCTTGTTTTGTTCAGATTTTTACAGTTAAATTTTACCTTCACCGATTGTTCTCATCCGATATAGAGTCTCAGTCACTGAAATACTGCCTGTACTATTTGTACACACATGCACTACTCGCTCGTCACATATGTTCTTGATTCCTCCAACATTTTTAGAGTTTATTTACGGATTTTTCTGAGTAACACACCAAATTGCATCGTTATCTGCTGCTCCGTAACGTTTTTGTCGATTTCAATAAGGACTACCCTTTTCTTCTCAAGTTGATTTCTTTTTCTTTTCAACAAAGCAAAATATAAAGCCATTATTTGGTATACGAATCGATGTAATAATTCTTAATTTGAATTTCTAGGTTGTTTTTTGTTTTTGCTCCATTTTACAGAGAATACGACTACAGACATCATATTGTGCATTGTATGTAACTGACTAAATTTTGACCTGCTACGCGATCCGATTTTTGCATTTTTGAAATCTGGATAACTTTTGAATAAATCGTAATATTTTGGAAAGAAAAATATAAACCAAATGGATTTATTGTCAAAATACAACTACCAAATTTGGATAATATATGACGTCAAATAAAAAAAGAATGTTAAGAGGGGTGTCCAGGAACTTTTCGAACAACCTTCGTACTAATAATTATTCCATTAAATCATCAGAGAGTCCTAGGCAAAGAAGTGCAATATCTTAACGTCATCATTTGACTGCTTTTGATAGAAAAATAATCCCTAATAAAAAACTTTACAAAACAACAGTACCGGTGTTTGATAATACCTTTGAGTAAATATTTTGGTTTAAATATCATGTACGCGGAAAGGATGATGCTAACATCCCATAGTTTGGTCTAGAAATATGAATAATCCACATTTGCCAGAAACCTCGCCCTTTGTTTTGCATTTCATACACATAACACGATATATTCAAACCAAGTTTACAGGATTCTAACAACACTTTCCAAGTATTATAGAGTGAAACATAAGGAGATAATGAACTGTATTCAAGATAGATTGTCCAGAAAACAATGCAAAATAGAAGCAGAGCAACACGGAACCACCCCCTCTCCAAAAAAAAAAAATCAAGGAGTGAACACCCCCTGCCGACCGGTAACACCTGCCGTGTGCTCCTTGAGTTTATTAATAATGGACTAACAATTAGTATGAAAAATGAGAGTCAGCATTTGACTTATGCAAGCTTACGATATGGAAAAATATTATGTTTAAACTAAAGTTCTTAGTGTTGTTCTTTTATCTCATTGTTTTCACGAATGACAGAGGAAAGTCAAATGGGATACGTAAATGGTAGCTTTCAATAGAAGTAAAAATCGATGACAATGAATTAGAATTCCGTTAAATAATCTTCACATGAATCATACACAGTATTTGCTTCTAACCCCCTTTCTCTTATATTTTACATGTCCTTAATTCTTTTTACGAAAAGTTCCTGGACAATATCAAATTTTAAAAAAAAAATCTTATTGGACCTCTTTTATACTTATAACCTAGAGAAAACTATCACGTGGACTGGAAGTACCCGCCTTTCTGTAAACTGATCCGGAGAGTGCAATTGTAGTTCACAGTAAATTCAGATATCAAGGTATCTTCTTTTTGCTGGCGTTTTCATGGTTGAAATATGAAAATAGAAATTAAACGGATCAAACATTAAGGTGGGTATAAATATACAAATGCTTTAGCCAAAGTTAAAGAAACTATTGATAATTAAAAACAAAATAACATTTTTTTCGTCATAAGTCGTGTCATGATAAAAAAAAATGTTAATATGCATGGTAATATATGCTAAGTATCGTCCTAAATTTTTATAGGTTACAAATGTTACCTCTTAATATGGAAAAGTAAATGAATTTTATCGGAATGGACTGTTATTCGATGTTTTTTTCAGTAGCAATTCCCAGCAAGGAATCAGTAAAACATAGAAATATTCTTAAGCGACATTGCAATTCTTCAAATTGAAGAAAATGAGGATAAAAATGTACATGTAATTGATTAAGATTTTTGTCAACAAAATTATGTATAATCTTAAAAGTAGGGTTTTGCCAACCTTTTCGTATCGTGATAAATCAAGATTTTTTTCCAAAAATATTATGATTTATTGCAAACAATTTTTACAATGAATTTAAATAAAAAAAATCCCATTTTTTCCTTAAAATATGCGGGAAAACATAAGTTCACTTTTATTTTTATTTACATTCATGTACTTAATATAAAGTATGTTTGAATGCTAGATTACATTCCATTGTGCAGTCTTATCACAATTTCAGTTATGCTGTCTTAATACAATTCAGATATGCATACCCTGACATAATTAAAGTTTGTCTTATATTTAGTCAACAAATAGAAAAGGATTTCCAAAATTAAACTTGATTTGGAGTCTAAAATATTAAACCGAAAGGTCTCATGCATATTGGAAACACAGTGAAAAATATTTTAAAATATTTTAAAGTTTCCCTCCTTTTGATTATAAAAATATACTGGATATGCATATAAAGTAGGTCAATAGGCACCTCTAAGCAAAGAAACATCTTTTTTCCATTTATGGCTGGACAAAAATAGTATCTCATAGAAACAACGGGTTTGGCTGGAAAAAAAGTGACTGTGAAAATAATTTTTTGCATTTTATATGTCCAAGTAAATAAAAACAAAACAGATGTTTAGTATTAGTTATATTTTCTTTTCCTTTTGATGTTATCAGTCAATCAGAACAAATGTGGTCCACTTCAGGGTAATATTTTATAAATATTGACTGGGATTGAGGGTACATAGTTTATGTTAGCGTCCAAGTGATGAAATATTGCCCGATACGGTGAGGGCAATATTTTAATTCTGAGGAGGTTAACATAATGTATGTTACTCGAAAACACATATTTTTTGGTTATATCTTGACTGTAGACCTAGAGCTAGCGAGTCTTGTATTACTTGGTTTTTCTATTGTGATGTTATGTTTATTTGGAAGTTGCGACGGTATCATTATGTCACAATGAATCAATCTTCTAATCAGAATCAAAATCAATTAATTTGTGGGAAAACTTTTTTTCGGTAAATAGTGAAATATTAATTAAATGACCGTCAATATTTTTTGGAGGAGCTTGTATCAATTATTATGACTGTTTCTCTTAATAGAGAATATAGGGACTTTTCTTTACTGAATATAACTATTTAAAATATTGAAATCTTGTGACTTAGTTATACTGAAATTACGTAATCTTGATTTTTTTTTTACTTTGCATGTCATCTTTTGGTAGGAAAACCTTGCCTCCAAGTATGCATTCTTTTCGTTTTCGTTTTTTTTTTTTTGGCACTGCTTAATTGATATTTCAAGACTAAACGAGAACATACATGTATTTTATCACTCTCCTTTCATAAATGAAAACAATAACAATTGAAAAAAAAACCAAACGTAAACATAAATGTTCTAAAGAGTACAAGATACCACATATGATATACCCGGTTAAGCCTTTAGTGACAAGTCTTTTATATATGTGGTGACTGTTTTCTTTGTCAGCCATGTAACATAGAACATGTAACGTTGAATGAGGTTTAATTTAATAGCCATTCTCTGTAACCACTTAAACTTCGTTGCCACGCATGGTCATCGATTTTGATGAAACTTCACCCATGCTTAGTACTTGACACCAGAAACAAATATCAAACAAAATTTCGTTGCTATGTGTCTCGGTTGCTATGGCAACAGCTGGAAAAGTTTGAAAAATCGAGATTTTCAGCCACTTTAAATCTTGACTGTGGCTTAATAAAAACTAGAAAAAGGAAACAAACCATTCTCACAAAAACATGACACCTTGATGTCACTTATACTCAAAAGAAACTTTTTAGAATATATCTCTAAGTAAGTGGTAACCAAGGGTACATTTGGAATACATTTAAAATGCTGAAATATGCTGAAAAACACTCCGTATTCACTAATGGTAGGTGTTATATGCTCAAACTCAATCAACGACTCAAGAAAAACAATGAAAATATTTGACCTTAAGTATATAGGTTTAAGCAATATTATTCTATAAATAACTTTTATGGTTGCCATGGTAACACAGTGTAACCATGCAAAACTAGTAACTAAGATTGGGTTAATGCTACTGTCTTGAGGAAAAACATGAAAATTCAAGACTGGCAAATATGCATCCTTAGGACCTTGCAACACCAAAACCATAAGAAAAATTGGGTATAATTACTACTTTGCAGTGTTACCATGGAAACAAAGTACCAGTGCTTAAAAGTGAATTATTTTTCTCTGCATTAAGAATTAAACTGCCATTTAATCAAGAAAAAAATTAAAGGACTCAGCTTGAGTAGTACTTATCTGTTAGAACTGAAGTTGAATATCATATATTGATAAAATTTGATGAAGAAAACAACACTGTTGCTATGGTTACCAAGAAGGGAAAATGTTCGATTTTCTGAACTTTATATCAATATTAAACCCTGTGTGCCAACTTCTTGCATCCATTTAGAGATTGGTGATAGTCAAAATTAAAAGTCAGGTAAGCTGTTAATAAATATCAGTCATAAAAGTTTTGGGAATCTACATTTAAGGGTACGTATCCAAGGAAAGAAAATATTTTTAAGGTTTTTAAGCATATATTTTCTGCTTATTTCCATAGCAACGCTCTAGTTAAAGAATCTAATCTGAATTTTTTCAAATGGGAAAACTAGGAGCACACAAACATCTTTAAAAATTGATCATTAGTTATGAGGAAATGTGCTTTTTTAAAAGATAGGATCAGATTTAAACATACAGAATGTTACTTTGAAGGCTCTCTGTGGTGTAAAAACCTTGGCAACCATTGCCAACCAAAATGAAATATCATATTTTGTTCTTGGTATATGTTTCAAGGTCTTTTTTCTGTTATTTGGTCACATTTCATCCTATAATTGCTTTTTATTTTTACGTGTATGACTTCATAAAATTCAATGAATATTTTTTTTTACTTTTGAATACTTTGTTTCCATAGTAACGTATGTAATAGTTGATTTACCAAACATGTTTATCATGCATTTGAGACATCTGACCTTCTAATTTTGGAAACAGTCATCGCCAATAGTTTGCTTTGCCGCAAATGTTAACTATGGGGCTCTAAACATGTTAAAAAATGTCATTTTTCGAACTTTAAGACATGTTGCCATGGTAACTATAAAGCATAGCAACCAATTTTTGCCTGATTTCAGTTTAGGGTATCAATGACTTTTATCATAGAGAGTTTGGAGAAATTCTGAGACTATGCGTGCCACAGCTCCTATATAAAATTTCAAGTCATTACAGAGAATGGCTCTTAATACGTATGCTTTCGTGCGCCGACGTACACTTATGTGCGTTCTTTATTTATTCGTTATTTTCCTGTTAAATGCACTATTATCATGCAACTTGAAAATCTTGACCATTAATTGAATAGAAAAGAAATTTAATTTAGCAAAAAGAAACACAATTGTTTTCTCTGTCTACGACTTTTTTGGAAAACCCTCGAATAACAGATTTTGTGATTTTTTTTTAATGTGAAACATAGTGGACAAGATTTGGAAAGTAGAATTAACCGTGATAAGGGGTAAAGATTGCAATACTAGCAACTATCATTACCTACATGTGTCACCCCTCGGTCAAAAAATAACCCATATAAGCATGTTCAATCAGTATTATAAAATTCATTGATAAACTGCTATAATCAGCGTTTTTATCTGGATTGTCAATATCATTATTGGCGTTTTATCATTTTTCGTTTCGCACATTTTTTGTTCAGGAGTCCGGTCCTTAATGTTATGTGTTTTAAAAAATAATGATTATATTTCAGTACTGTCCTGTGTGCATTATATGCGTCTTAAGCATCTTATTAATTCATTTAAACTGACACACTTTTGCTCATATCCTTTTACTTTGCCTAGCTGCGAGTTCTGAAGGGTCTGATTTGTACGCCAGTAGGTCATTTTTATCCGGATACGTAAATTTGTTCCTCAATATCAAAATGACAATACTGTTTATTGGTAAAAGAAAGAAAATTGAAGTAGAAAACCACAAAGTTACAAACAGTAACATTTTAAGCTGGAGATTAAAGTTCATACGCATGCGTCAAAAAATGTTTTTATCTATATAAATGAATTTTTGTGATCTAAATACATTCAAGATTGTGTTATTTAAATTTATCACTATTTTGTGTGAATACATGAGTCATCATACATTTGTCAAATCTTCTGCAAATGTGCTTCAAGTTCATATGAACTGAATTAATTTCATTATTTTATTATTATTTTTCATTAGTTTCAGTATTTTAGAGCACATTACAAAAAATTATCTGCTTAAACCTAGGTATATTAAGATATAAAATTTGTTATTGATCGGCATCTTTTAAGAGAGAAAAGAAGAAGGTGAGAACATTTTTTAAAAAAAAATATGTCATATTTTTCTATCTTAAAAAGAATACTACATAAATTCAAAGGAATTGTTGGAAGAACCGAAAATTGCATTAAAAAATCATTTAATGCACAATGCTTTCTCTTAAATATAAAAAATGTATGCAATAGACTTAATAAAGAGTTCACTATCATTTCTTTAAATTACAGAAAGATATGAGTTTTGTGACGGTGTGTTTCTGCATTCTTGTTGCCTTAGGGCAATCTGAAGGTAAGTTTTTTTTCTTCTTTTTTCAATAACTGAAATTATAAGATGAAAGATAGGTGGTAATCAAGTGATGAGAATACCCACCATTTTACGTTTTTGCAACATAAGAAATGTGAAAATGATTTAATCTAGAATAAAGTATTTATTACAAATTTTAAATTTACTACCGTCAATTCGTTATTTTATCTCTAGTCTGCATTCTTTAAAGAAAGGTGATAGGTATTAAAGATAGAATAAATAAATTAATTATAATAATTTACATGTTTTCACGAAATTTGACAGGGATATTTTTCATTTACTTTATCATGAAATGTAAAGATAATATTGATTTCATTATCAAAATTCGAATCATACATTATGCAAATTGAGAGCAGACCCCAAAAATGAACCACAGAAAACATTGTTTACACCGAAAGAATTTACCCTTGTCGACAGGTCATAGGTTGAGTAAGTGATGGGTTGTCTTGCTCGGTTACACAGAGTAATCTGAAATAAATCTAATATGAAAGAATGGCTTAACAGTTTGTATTAAATTGTCAGTCGTCATTCGACACAAGGAAAGGTTGTATTTGCAAGTCATTGTAAAAACCATAGAGTTTGCGAAATGTTTATTTGAATTGATTGCTGATACGATTGTTAAATTTACTAATTTGTTAAAAAAATGTTGAGAATATAGCAATGTTAAACACCTCAGTATCGTATTGTATAGTGTTTATTTGAAACCCCTGCTGTTGTATTTATAAATAAGCAGCAACCTCTATGTTGTCATAGCTTTATGACTTTATCCTTCAGTTACATAAACATGATTATATTAGAGAAGTATTCATATCTATATTTCACAACATTCTCCGGCCCACCAAAGTGTCCATATTTTACAACATTCTCCGCCCCACTTCACCAACAACCGATACACAGAATTATGTATTTATCTGTAGTCTACTTGTGTGCCAAGTTATATTGAAATCAGATTAAAACTGTAGGAGGAGTAGCATTTTGAATGATTTTCACAAAAATTTCTATTTTTATTAACAACGGCAACACCGTTCATCGAAATTAAAAACCGATACACAGAATTATGTATCTTCGTGTAGTCTACTTGTGTGCCAAGTTATATTGAAATCAGTCCAAAACTGTAGGAGGAGTAGCATTTTGAAAAATTGTTTACAGACGGACAGACAGACAGACGGACGGACGACGGACATATTACTATCGCATAAGCTCTTCTGGTCTCTGACCAGAAGAGCTTAAAAACAAAGTATTTTTGTCTTTCAAAATAAGTTTTCCGCCTATCAGATTTAAGTCCAAAGACATTCTTTTTTCCGCCTGTCCAAGTAATTCTAAGTGTAGATCTTTATTTCAATTTCGAGACTCTAAAAGTCATTGAGGAAAGCGGTTGGATCATTGTCATATGTACATGTATAATTTGTTTGATGGCTTTGTTTGTCCTTTCAAAGGAGAAGATGTTGAGGATGTTACCATTATTGGAGCCGGTATTGGTGGGACCTACACAGGATGGAGACTAAGGAACAAAGGCCTCCGGATTGGTATCTACGAATACTCCAATCGTGTTGGAGGAAGGATGTACACGAAGACTTTTCCAGATGCCCCTGATGTTCCCATTGAATTGGGTGCCATGAGGATAAAATCTAAAGAACAATTGAGAATGATTAAAGCCGGTAGAGAATTAGGATTAAAATTTATACATTTTACTGAGGAAATGGGACGGATTCCAAATCATACACTTCTTTATCTGCGAGACACACGCTTGTCTATCCCAGAGCTTGAGACCTCAAAAAATCCGTACAGACTCAGATCTGGGGAGAGAAAAAATCCCACTTACTTAAAAAAGTGAGTATATCTTTTATTTTTATGATTTTTGATTAATGTTTTTAACAACATTTGCAATTGTACAGGGAGTTCCAACACAACTTTTAATCATACGTTAGTTTGTAATGTACTTAGGTGTATAAAGGACATTTCAATTCTGAATTATTCTATACATGATAAATATCTTTCTTAATTCTTTTACATTGTAGAACACTCTCTGAATTATTCACCAACTATAATGGCTCTGTTCCAAGAACTGAACTTTTTACTGCTTTCACTCTCAGTGATGGGATGCCTTTATATTTACAAAGGTTTGTATCTTTGTATCTATTGATTTGTCTGAAAACAAGCTTTCTCTTTCAAAACAGGAATTTTTTAATCTGTTTACTTTACCTCAAGTGTTATTGTGTTATACAAAGATACTGTTTGTGATTTAAAATATAAAATGACATGTAGTTTCACATTTTGCTTAAAAATGGCCCTGTAGGTATACCAATTTATAAGATAGAGACTTTGTGCTTTCTTTTTCTTTTAAAAACGTTTCCTATGAAAGACCTAGTATTGGATAACAAGTATTGTGAATAGAAATTTTATAGAAAAAGGGGGCATTTGAGTACTTATATCAAAGACTGAAAAAAACGACGGCAGTCCTCGATCTAAAAAAAATGTTTTGTAATCCCCAGAAAGAGTTCTATGATTAAATATTTCCATATTTTGTATCAGAGGCTGCGCTATTACAAAATATTTAAAAAAGATACTGCATATTTGCCGTAATTTTTTTTTTTTTTTAGACTTTTCGGAAAATGGATGATAAGTAGATAAGTATTCACCAAGGGTATAAATGATTTCTAATGCAGTTTTCACTAAAACTAAGCTGTTTCACTTTTTCCGAAATTCAAAGGGTAAAACAGGCCTTAAAATAACATTGTCATTTATATACCTTTCCTATGTTTACTATCTGTGACTTAAATCTAAAATGAAATTGAATAACTGTAAATACTGTATCTGAACTGTTCCATTAACATTTGTATTAGCATTTCAATGCAATTTACAAATTTTAAATTTAACAATTTTAAATGCTCCAAAGCAAATTGGAATTCCCATGGATTTACCTATTAAAATATTATTTATTATACATGTAGTTTCTTAAAGATGATGATAAGTGCATATATATATTGGATTCCGAAACTTCATAAGAATCCTTACAAACAAAGATACATTGCGGGTTCCAGTAAATGTTCAACCAAGCCTATTTCTTTACTCCTCACTAACATATTGACAGTAGTGAAAGAAAAACTTTTTTGTATTCAAAAATATGATGCAGATTTTACCAAAATTTTTGAAAAATCTTATGCCAAAATTATTTTGTTAAAACATATTTCGATGCACACAAAAGATTTTCGTTGAAAAAAAAAACTTTCTGTGGACTTCAACTCAATATTTAGATATAAAGACTACGTATTGTCAATTATCAATGGTAACTTCCATTCCTATGTCGATACGATATATCCTGTTGAGCTTGAGATAAAAGATTCTACAGAGTCTGACACGTCGGCTTCACACTTGGATATTCCGCATAACAAAGACGTTAAAGGTAATCTAACAACCAAGCTCTATGATAAACGTAATGACTTTAACTTTTCTATTGTCAACTTTCCTTACTTATGCAGCTATATACCTTCATCACCTGCATACGGCGTTTATATATCTCAGTTGATTCGATACGCAAGAGCAAGAGTATGCTCTACGTATGAACAATTTCTGAAACGAAGTAAATTATTGACAAACAAGTTGATGAAACAAGAATATCAGCAGACTCTTTTAAAGTCATCATTTTTTAAGATCTATGGTCGATACAATGACCTTGTTAACAAATAAAATTTATGATTGAGTCAAATGCTGACTGACGTTTTTCATACTAGTTGTTAGTCCATTATTTATACGCCGAATTGACGACGGATTTTTCCGTTGTTTCCCGATCACGACAAGAAGCACACCGCGGGTGCATGTGACCGGTCAGCAGGGGATGCTCACTCATCTATGACACCTGATCCCACCTCTGGTATTTTAGAGGTCCGTGTTTGCTCTGCATCTTTTTTCTATTGTTTTATGGACTTTGATATTGAATTCTGTTCGTTATCTCCATATCCTTCATGATTCTAGAGATGACCTATATTATTGATAGTTTTACATGCCTATGAAATATTATAGAAAAGACATCTAATGTATAAAAAAAAATGTTTAAAAAATGTAAAATGAAAACTCAATTTCAAAAGAAGATATATATATATATATATATATATATATATATATATATATATATATATATATATATATATATATATATATATATATATATATATATATATATATATATATATATATAGACATATATATTATCATTATGGAATTATTTACAGCTATAGCGAAGTCATTCGAAAAACTGGAATAAGCAATGAGGCATACAATTATATCTTTTACAACGAATTACATCATGGCGGGTTTGGAAATGGCCAAAGCATTGAGCGTATCCCTAAAACACGACAAGGATATGAAAGGAACAAGTATTCCACTGGACTTCCACCCGTTGTGACTGTTCCCACAGGAATGGCTTCATACCCAAAAGGATTTATGAGCCATTTCTTAGCACATAACCCCAAAAGGTATAATGGTATACTGTACATAGGGAAATTTTCGCCCCCGTTTTATTTTCGCCCCTTTCGCCCTAGCCTCAATTGGGCGAATTTAAAACGAAGCAAATTCATATAATACAGTATAAGTACTTAAACAAAACTTTAACAGGGCGAACTTAAAACGGGGTAAAATTGTTCACAAGTGTGAAAGGGCGAAAATAACCCTGTATACAGTATTAACGATAGAATATGTAATATCAATAGTTTATTTTTTTTATATTAAACTATATATTACGAACTTAAATTTGGAATACCATGGGATGTTGCGTATCTGTACCATAAATTAATCAATCACAGTTCTTGACAAAATTTTGTTTTGAGAATTTGAATTATAGTCTGTCCCACGACCGGAACGTCACTACTTTTTGCAAAATATCTCAAATTTAATAAATACCTTGGCTTTCAACCTATGTCCGATTGGTAGATTGAATTTTTTCCAAACTTCCTGCATTTATCCGAACCCTCGAGGTCAACCGGTGTAAACACACGGCGGCAAATTCAAAGTCTACGGGGATTTAACATGGTAAACTCGTCCATTAACGTCTAGGTTACGGGGCCGGGAACCAGTTTACGAAGGGAGTTGTCGTTCTTTCCGAAGGGAAAATTCAAAAAATGTATTAAAATAGAAAGAAATGAAATAAACGTGTTTTTAGTAAAAATATGAGAAATACACAATATTCATCAATATTTCAACGAGTTTTATCGTGATAAATGAGTGAATAGTCCGAATATATAACGTTAGGCCTAATGGCGGGCTGAAGAATCATCCATGGTTCAGAAAGGTAAGTTTTTTAAATGTTGTTTTTTGTTATATACTGCTGTACAAACGTTTATTGAAGATATATATCAATTTTTATGATAGAGTATGCAAAGATGTATTGTTCACACCCGTCCCTATTAGCTATAGACAGCGGAAATACAGTGACCTACATTATAGACGACATGATTGACGTACACATACAGCTGTAGATCTATAACGTCTCACGGACTAACATATTGATTTAGATTAATGAACTGATTTTACTATACAAGTCGGATTAAAGAGCTTCACAGGAAAAGGGATAAAATTAAAAAATAAAGCAATACTGACTTTCTCTATTTCGGTTAGAAAATGGTAAATTTCATTAACCCTATGACTGTGGAGAACAAGTCTACTTTCGCTTTTAACACTACCGTAAATAGTTAAGATATATAAACTATTTATGCCTAATAAATACCCGAAGTATCCAATATGCTATTTTCTATATTACCAATATTTTGGCACTCATATTTCTTTCCTGATTTCTTATAAAAATTATTTGTTTATTGTGGTTTTTTTTTCTTATATGGTGTATAGAGAAAATTTGTGATATAATTAAATGTTTGAAAGCAAAACATACAGTATATTGTCAGTCCACTCCGTGCAGTTGTATTGAGCAGACTTTAACAATTGAACACACCTGGTGAATCATGAAACTTAACAATAACAGAGCTTGTGCCCTGTTTACAAAAACTGTGTATACATTTCACAGGTATATGTTCAATTTGCTAAACTCTGTACACAACACTAAGCGTGGAATGACAAAAGGGATTTTGCTTTTGAACATTTCTACTCTGAAAATAATTATTTTTCTGGATTTAAGTTTTTAAAACATTTCTTTAATACACAACAAGTTTAACGGGGCTTAATGATGCTACATGTACCTCTTTTTACTGTGAGAATGGGTTTAATTTACATTTATAGTACTGTATACAGGGTTATTTTCACCCCGTGTTATTTTTGCCCTTTTGCACTTGCAAATAATTCTGTCCCGTTTTAAATTCACCCAGTCATATATATAGTTCTGTTCAAAAAATTATGCTGGGTAATTTTGATTCACCCCATTTTAAATTCGCCCAATCGAGAAAAGGGCAAAAATTAAACAGGGGCCAAAATTTCCCTGTATACAGTATTAAATGTGTAAAATTGCATATTGATTGATTTGATTGGTTTACTGCTATATAGAGCATACATATTTTTAGCCTCATATAATCCAAGTTCAGCTTTGTCATATTTACAGCTGAGGAGACTTCTACAGGTGCCAAGCCTTTGATGTCAGGATAAACTTTCACTTTGTTTGAAGGTATCTTTTCTTACCCATGCATACTTTTCATATATGTCATACAACAAGTCACTGTATGTAAATGACTTTTCATTATAATGCATTATTCAGAATATTGTCTAATGATATGAGATTACTTACTTCAATTTTAAATCTTCATATATCTTTGAAAGGAAAACAATGTACTTATGGAATGCAACAAAACATTTATTTCACAAATTTGAGAAAATCTGCATCATAACATGTACATGTATTATATAAGATGAACAGTCAATAACTCATATTGCAATTAATTCTTTTCAACATCTGTAAAGCACAATGTTGTTGGTATCATATGGTTTGGAATAATCACTTATCACAAAATGTATATTTATAAAAAGATCATTGCAGAATTTTATTTTTTTCTTAACTATACATGCTACGTACAGTTTGAGGATTTTTATCAATGAAAAATTTCCGAAATTTTTTAGTGATCAAAGTTTGTATACTATATGTGTCATCCCATAAAAAACAACAACAATGATTTACTGCATGAATACAACACATATTATGCTCATCAAAGAAATCAATACAAATAGTTGAGACAAACATTTCAAATTTTCCTGTAGTATTTTAATCACAGACACTACTTGCTTTATAATGTAAATTAAATATGATATTAAGATATTTGGGGAATTTCTGAAATACCTTGCCCTGTATGTAAGCATTTAGGTAAATTGTCACAAAGACGGAAGTTTACAGACATCTCTGTCGTGCCAGTGACTCCATATCATGTATACCAACAATGAAATGTGTACTGAATAAAATAACCACTGTATTCAACTATTCATATGCCATTCATGGGTCCATGTAAAAATGCTCAGCATTTAATTGTATGTAAAAGTATAACTCATTGTAGTCTAATATATTATTAGTATTTGCAGTAAGTTACTGCTGTGCTTGACTACAATCTTAATAGCTAGTTCATTATTATTTCTTTTTTGACTAGCTTAATGTAGTGCATTTCAAACCAACACCTTTGTTGTACACATTCAATGTTTGGTTGAAAGAACCTTAAGTAATACATGATATATCCTTAATGCAAACATACAGTCATAATTAATGGTTTAAGGTGTAATTTGGACACAAAAGCAATGAACAAGCAAGTTATGTCTCTGTATGAAACTATTGCAACTATAGCATTAGAGTCAGTCTATAAGTAGCAGTAAGCCTAATATGGTAAATTTGAAGAAAGAAAGATAATTAGAAAAAAGAGGGTGTATAACATCAACATTGTTTTCACAGAACATGGAAGATAAAAATACAGTATATTTATGTAAAAAAAAAATGATACAGAGAACACAAATATGCATCTTTCAGATTTAGGACAATCGCTGATTCAGAGAGTGGTACACTAAGTTTTTGAGTACATGTATTAAATTATTAATAATTAAGTTAAAATAATAATCACAACAAAGTTTTTATCATGTACAGTACTGAAGTGCAGAAAAAGTAGAGTGAAAATACAAAATATTGAAGAACAAATGTAAATAATCAAGTAATTACAATTCATATGTTTCAATGTACTACATATTTAGTTATCGGTAAACAATATGAATAACATTTATCACAGCAGATTTTATCACAGTAAACTGAATAGAAATACAGTACGACTCTTATGTTAAAGCTTAAATATAATAAACAGTATGACATGATTAAAAAACATGTACACACATGAATTAAAATCATTGAAATAAAATTTTTTTACTTGCAATTGATTATGTACATAATAAGTAAAAAAAAAAAAGAATACAGAGTATATCACAGTAGGTTTAATCACAGTAAATAGGTCATGTAAAAGGAAAATTTGAAATCAGTATATAGGGTTTTCATAAATATGCACAAATTTGTATCATTGATTCAATATATCCCATGAATGAAAACCACTTTTCTTGCAATTAATTTTACAAACTGTATGTAAGAAATGAAAAAAAATATTGATTAAGCAAGTCCCAATTGTAGAGGAGAAGTGGATCACAATAAGGAACTGAGACTAAATGCTGGCCTGTGAAAAGTTAACATGCAGGAGATACAGAGGAGGGGAAGTAGCTTCACTCATCCAAAGTCAGGTTTGTTGGTTCGGTAGGGGGCATTGTGTGTAACTAATCAGATAATCAGGCAGTATATGTGTTCACATAATTATGAAGAACTCTATTTGAACCTTAAAATGTCTTAATGACCATAAAATACAGCTACAGGTAAAAGCAAATTTATTAGGGATCAGAATAAATTAGTTGACAATGAGTGTATTTTTGATTTTAAATGCAGTGAAATTCTGACTTGTTTATTAAAATTCATTTACCATTATGCTGTTTACTATAACTGGATATGGTTACCTCTGTATCTATATATATACCAGCAGGGTAAAATGAAATTATGTGCATAAAGTCTTTAATAGATTTAAGTTTGCAAGGATCTACAATAGGGATTCAAATCTGTAATGATCTTCTTTATTTTCAGTTATAGCTGATCCATACTGATGAAATTTTGACCAAATGACGAGAAAGTGATTACAGCAATATAAGGTAAAATCTCAAGAATGTAGGCAAGAAACAGTAAAAAAGATTAGTTACACACAGTCCCACCTTTTGAAAGACAAATTAATCATTAAACAATGCATGTATCATAGATTAACCAAAGATTTAAGTTTTCATTGTCTTAGGAGACTTTCAACATTTTCAATTATGAACAGTTTGATTCAGGTCATTAAGCGGTATTTGATTAATGGATAAAAAAATACTTTATATCAATTAAATTAGGTTCCCTTTGTCCGAAAGACTTACATCAAAGAAATAAATCAATCCGCCTGACATTACATATAAATTTTGATCAGTTTGAAGGTACTTTCAAGGCAGTCAACTTTTTTTTAACAATAAATGAAAGAAAAATTAAATTGTAAGGAATGAATTTAATAGGTTCCGATTTCAAATGTATAAACAGTTTACATATATAAAGTGGGTGTCTATTAAATTTGTTCCTTACTTATTTAGTAATCATATATTTAATATCCTATTGCGTAATTAAATTTTATCAGCTGAAATATCAAATTGAAGATGTGTCACACATTGAAACCAGAAGTATCTGATGAGACTGTAGCTCTACTTGTTTGTTCTGATAAACAGAGAAATAGAAAAGTAGCCCATGGGTTTGAAACATTGCAACAGCAATAAATATAATTATTCATCTTAGTGTAGTCTGTTTCTTTGCCAAGTTATTTCGAAATTAGACCAAAACTAGTAAAAATAGCTACTCCATTCATTGAAATCAAAAACTTATGCTCAGAATTATGTATTTTAGTGTAGTCTACTTGTGAACCAAGTTATATTTAAATCAATGCACTCTCCTCTATTTATGAGCATTCCAACAATGTCAAAATTTTAGAGTGAAATTTTACTGAATTCATAGCGTTTACTGCAATGGCTTATTTTTCTCAAATAGCTAAATCTATGATCAAACACTAAGTGATACATGCATCAATGAATGATAAATAATCTTTCTTTTACCTTTAAAGAGGAACAGTTCACCAATCATCAGAGGAAGGCTCATGAAGAAAGCGGATTCAGTCCGTACAAACTGTTCCAACATCGGAGGCACTTACCTGACTTTAGAGAGGGTTTGGTGCATATGCGGTGACTCCACCTCTTACACAACTCACACTCCACCCACGCAATCTTTCGTGACCGTCCAGGAGCATTATAGTCACCACATATGCAACAAGTGACTTCATCATCAGATTCCTCGACGGAGTTCATGGAAACGTCAGAGTCAGCGTCACTTTCGTCATCACCAAAATCTGAGTCTAAGTCACTGTCACTGTCCTCGGAGTCCGTCAAGTCAATGATCACCGGAGCGACCTCGTCATCCTGAACTCCGTCAAGTTTCCACAGTTTTGTCTCCACCTCATTTATCACGTGGCTCTCGACCCTCCTCCACTTCTCCACATCGTAAGCTGATCTTGCTTGATTGAATAGCTCCATCACTTTATCTTTCTTAAATGTGGCGTTGCTCCTGGCGACGAAGCTTTTCAATTCAGCCCAAACCAGCTCGATGGGATTCAGCTCACAGTGATAAGGAGGTAGACGCAAAACTGTGTGACCTGCCTGTGAAGCCAAATCGTCAATCACATACTTAGGACGAGGCTTGTGCTGCTTCACCAACGTGAGTAATTCAGCCTTGATCATTGCCGGGGTGTAATGGATACCCTTTCTATCAAGCCAAGACTGGATCTCGGCCTTTCGCGCCGACGATGTCGGACACTTAGACTCAGGATCCAGATGACTGTGATAGGAAGCATTATCCATCACAATGACTGAATTACCCGGTAGGTTAGGGAGCAACTGCTCAGTGAACCACCTCGTGAAATTTTCCCGAGTTCATCTCATCATGATAATCCTGAGTGCCAGTTTTTGACTCGAAAACTAGGCTTGATCCCGGGATCATGCCTACAGCCGAAGAACCAGCATCCACAATTATCAGACGAGACCCCTTCCCAGGTGGGACGAAGCGCCCATGACCTTCACGGTGTGACTCAAAGGCAGAGGTAGATGTCCTAGGACAGTGCACCCAATCTCCCCTCGCTACATGATTGGTGTTCAACCAAGTCTCATCCAAGTACACAATAGGACGACCCGCCTCTCTAAAGTTTCGGATGGACCTCAGGTAAGTATGGCGCATACTGACAATGTCATTACGCTCACCAATAAACCTCCGATCTGAACCAGACTTGTAGAATCTGAAAGAAAAAGAAAAATATTTCTTACAAAGGTTCAAAGGTGATAAAGTTAAGTGAGCTTTTCTGATCACATTTGTTCTGAAGTCCTGTCCATCTGTCTGTCTGTAAATCTGCAAAATTCAATTACACTTGCCTCAAAGCATCCTTGGGTGAAAAAGATTGTTTGTTCAAATGAAGGGAAATACCCTCTTTAAGGGGGAGATAATTTAGAAATTGTGAAGAATTACTGGATCAGGAAAGATGAAACTAAAGTAGAAGCATCCTCGGGTAGTGAAGATTAAAGTTTATTCAAATCCTGACCCTGGGGGAAGGGTGGGGCCAAAATGAAAGTTCAAGTTTTAGGGAGAAAAAGCCACATTATGTCAAAGAAATATGTGAGCATTCTTAGTTTGTGTAGATTTAAGGTATTAATTCAAATCATATCCCCCTCCTTATTATTGGGATATGCATTTAAGCTTTTCAATAGTGAATTGACTTTTGCTTTTTTTCCCAGTCACACTGCTAAGGTGAGTGATGTTGCCCATAGGCCTCTTGTTAAGCATGCAAACAATGCTTATTTTTATACTTTAAAATTTCTTCTTACATAAAACTATATCAAAATAAGTTTATTTTTTCCTTTATTTACTGAGCAGTAATGTAAAATCAATGTTTGATTGTGGAGCAAGAAATTGGACAATATATATATAATGAAAGTTACAATTTTGTATTGACTGAATTCGAAAGTGAAATGCTTTTTTTCACCCTGTAGGTCCAACAAATTGTATGCTGGCATTGAATCCAGTCAATAAGTGTATTTAATATATACGTGTTATTTTTATAATTATATGCTTTATTTGTAGGTTATATTTTTCCAATTGATTCCTACCTGAATCCAAGTTTCTTCACGAGTCTTGCCAATGATGATTTGGTGATCCTGATTCCCCTTTCTACCAACACATCTGACAGTCGATGGAGAGAAACATACTCGCGCCTCAACTGCATCTCATGGATGGTCCTTTTCACCAGGTCCTCATCGAAGTCATCGAGCCCCTTATTGGAGTGGATCTTCTGCTGTACAGGAGGGACTTGCAAATCCTCAACCACAGTTTTCACTGGATCAGACAGGAGATTTGCCTTCAGAGTTCTTTCAGATATTCCTATAGTAAAATATATTAAAAGATTTATGTACTTCATGTATCAGAGGATACAATGCACAAACTATGTTTTCATTTTTTTTTAAATATAAAATGACTTACTGCGTAAGCAGTAAACTGAAGTTTGATAATCTCACAATATGTTTTATTGTAATAAAAGTAAGAAAATATAAGCTCACTATAGTCAATGGCTTAAATAAGCTTTTTTGATTAAAATGGGTCTGTCATTTTCATTGTTGTCAGCATTATACATCATAAACTTTTCACTATTGAATATTTTTCTCTAGAAACATTGTGTCAATTAACTCAATTTCAACTCAACTTGAGGATCCTTAGGGTAGGATGGGATAACATATGTACAAATCTATAAATATACTTGTCAATTCAGAACTAAATCTTGCTTTATCTATATAGAATGCTCATGTGAGCAATATGGCCCATGGACCTCTTGTTTAAGTTAAATAACTAAAGATTTTCTTTTTTCACAATTAATGTAATAGATTTTTTTTGGTCTTATATGCCGGATAATTTGTGAAAAGGTCCATTATTACAGATATCTTTCTGTATCAGTAGCAGAGTATTTGTGTGATATTTCATACCTGTTGCTGTGGAAAGTCTCTTCAGAGGGTCAGAAATGTTTTTCACCCTTCCCTGTGTTCTCTCTTGTTCGAATGCCTGGTACACTTTTTTAAGAATGTCAAGAACCTGTGCATTACAAATAATATTAAATTATATTACAGTACATGTAGTTTTAGTTTTAGTTACTGTTTTTGTTCACTCTTTTGAGCTTTAAGATATTTAGAACACCTTTGTAATCCATTTCAAAGATTCTCAATTGATACAGATGAGCTTAATTGAATTTAGTTTTTATTGTCTCCCCTTATCTCTTCCTATGAAGAACAGCTTTCGCCCATAAAAAACTTTTGCTGTATCAACTTGACTGCCTCATTAAGTATTATAAGATCCTAAAAGCCTCTGGAGACCCCAATTTTCATTCTAAACACATTAGATTTATCATTTATCTTATCCACTAAATATTGTTAGCAATTGTTTTGAAAATATGCAATATTTCCTGTGTTATTACTATAGATGTATTATCTAACTTGAAATCAAAGAAAATCATAAAATTCTTAACTCAGTTATGTATAAAATGAATGCTATAACCCTCATAGCTGTAAGAGCCAGGGGATGGGGTGCCCCCCCCCCCCCCTTTAATGATTTCACTGATGTACAGAAATTACAGCAGCAGCTGCTACTACTACTATCTGCTTGTTCCCCATCAATAATTTTTAGGTCACCTGAGTAAACTCAGGTGATCTATTGCCATCTGTTTTCGTTGTGTGTTAACATTTGAACATTTTCAGCTTATTCTCTGCAACCGCTGAACCAATTACAACCAAATTTGGCACAAAGCATTTATGGGTGAAGGGGAACAAAAATTATGAATTTCAGGATCCCTGCCTCCTTGGGGCCTGGGGTTGGGACCAAAACCACTAAAATTAATGTAATCTTTAAAAATCTTCTTGTGAATTTTATGGCCTCAGGGTCAGGGGTTCTTGTGTATTAGGGCTGGGCTCTATTGATTATATAGAGAAAATACATTAATTCTTTGAAAATCTTCTTCTTTGCTCCTGGGTATTACATAAACAAATTAAGTGCATAGTTATGATGAACAAGAGTGCCTCTACCAAAATTGTGAATATTATGGCCCCAGGGTCAGGGGTTCTGGTGTTAGGGTGGGGCTCTATTGATTATATAGTGAAAATAGATGAATTCTTTGAAAATCTTTTCTGCTCTTAGATTTTATATTAAACTAACTAAGTGCATACATTAGTTATGATGAGCAAGAGTGCCTCTACCAAAATTGTGAATATTATGACCCCAGGGTCAGGGGTCCTGGTGTTAGGGGGGGGGCTATATTGAGTATACATGTATAGTGAAAAAACATTAAATCTTTGAATATTTTCTTCTTTGCACCTAGTAGGTTTTAAGCAGATGAACTACCTATATAGTTATGAGCAAGGGCCCTAATCTTCAAGAATTGTGAATTTCAAGACCCCATGGTCAGTTGTACCATGGAGGGGGGGGGTGTATTTATATACTGAAAATGAATAAATTGTTTGAAATGTGTTCCTTTGTATTAATCAAATATTTTTGAAAAGCATGAATGCCTTTCCAAAAATTATACAATGTGTGGATCTAGGCCTAAGAGTCTAGGGTTCATGTGTGGTAGCGGCACTACTCATTATTGCTGATTATTACTGATTTGTTGAAATGCATTTTTTGTTCCCCTATCCTGCCTATGGGTATTAAGTAACCATACTAAGGAACTGCTAAGTGTAATGATGACCAAATTGTAAATGCTATAGCATCTGGCTTAAAACATGGGTCAAATTCAATCATTGGAAAGTTGTTGAATAATGCTCAGGTGACCTATAAGGCCCATGGGCCTCTTGTTATTATCTTTTTGTTTGTCAAGGACTTATTCAATTTAGTAGTTGATAGCTATAGTGCCCCTCTAGCTGAAAATGCATAGCTGCACCCCCCCCCCCCATTTTTTTTCATTTGAATTTCACGACAATATGTGAGGTTTTGTGATGCACTCATATTTTTTAAATTTTGTCCAATCACAACTTCTTGTATGTATTTCAAAGAAAGCTACTTTCTGATTTTAATTATATACATTTATACATGTGAATTACAATAAAAGTTAAATTCCATCTAGAAGTTGTGAAAGGCTCATATTCTTGATGTATACAAAAAACTTACACATATTATAACAATTAATGAAAATAGACAGCTTATGCATATAGGTTTGCAACTCATGGAATCACTATATTCATATTTTCTATATTCATCTATTATATTTTTAAGATTTTGCTTCTGTGAAAATAAAGGTTTTATAATTTGTTGTCCTTATTGTGAACAATGAAACACCAAGTTTGTCTCAGTTTATTTTTGCTTTAGGGGTTAACTTGTGTGGGAGGTAACTCTTGCCAGCATATTAAGATACTAATTATTACTCAGTATCTAGGAGTTATCTTTCTTGTTCATATATATAAATAAGACGTGTTTTTGGACTTTGAATAATTTCTATAATTTATTAAAATGTGAAAGAAAAGACACGGTCATGTATGAAACCATAAACAGTGTATACTGAATGTAAACTTCTCTATCACTACTTACGTGTGTAAAATTACAACTCGGGTAAGAATAACATGGGTGTGAATAGACCTTTCACCACAATATAAAGGGCAAGGTCGCTTCCTGACGTCATTCTTATCCGAGGAATAGCAGACAACAGCAGGAACTTTCAAAATTGTTTGACCGAATATGGAGTTTTTTTGCGTGTGTAGAATGTTTTGAACATGAATGCAATTGAATTATAGTGTTCCAGTTATGGCTGATGTGAAAATATAGTGGTTATAACAAGATTGTGCGTGATATAGCCCGACATGTTTACGTTGTTTATGTGTACACATGTGTGCAATGTGTAACGGATTGGAGATGCCGAACTTCTGAAGAATTACATGCTTAATATCCTGCCTTCTATGTTGGATTAAATACTGGGCTATGCTCACATCAGGTAAAGTCATATTTTTATACAGAAATACTTGTTATAGGGATTTATAGACATCCCAGAATATAGTACTGTAGGTTCATGGTTGCAAACATAGCTGCATAGCTGCAAACATAGTTGTATAGACTATAGTTCAAAGTTGTCATTATGGGTGTATATGTTACCATGCTATAATACCTGTAGAGATTTTACAGCTTGTCTGGTCTTCTTCTGTCGTGGCATTCTGCTGTAGTACTTAAAAATTATATGTTCAAGGCCTTGATGGTAAATGGCAAAAACACGTTATTTTGTAACGCATGCGTAAATAGATACAACGTGCGCAGCGTTGAAACATACATGACGTCACTTACGGAAAATTCCGAAGAAAAAAAAATAATTTAGGATCCCCTTCCGAAGTGGCAGCCATTTTGGCAATGTTAAATCCCCGTAGACTTTGAATTTGCCGCCGTGTGTTTACACCGGTTGACCTCGAGGGTTCGGATAAAAGCAGAAAGTTTGGAAAAAATTCAATCTACCAATCGGACACAGGTTGAAAGCCAAGGTATTTATTTATTTTGGGATATTTTGCAAAAAGTAGTGACGTTCCGGTCGTGGGACAGACTATAAACATTTCCATGTAAAACTTCCATTGTGGCTAAACCCTACTACAGAAACCCTAATTTGAACAATCTTTGAATTTAAATTTTCTGATCGTGCTTTCATATTTATTTTAGTAAACCTTTACTGGTTTTATCCTATACCCTGGGCCATGATTTGAATAAAAACTAGATTTACACTTTATCAGAATCTAACACATTAGTTTCATGCTTCATCGCCAAATGGTGTTTGGTAAAAAAAATCAATGCACACACTCCGTGTATTGATTATTTTCTGAAGATTTTTAATGAGGATCACCTACTGTATTTAAAAAAAAACATAACACATTTGTGCCGTTTACCAAGTTTGGCTAAAATTGGTTCAGTGTTTCTGAAAAAAAAAAAAACAAGTAAAAAATGAGAACAGTTAACAGAAAGACAAGCTTACAGTCAAATAGTTACACGGACGGACAATGGACGATCTTCGAACAGAGAAGCTTATTTCAGCCATTGGCCCATGTGACATATTTGTTTTATCGATTTGCAAAATTGGAGACTCAACTTGGAAAATATCACCCCAAAAGAGAATCATGCTCAACAGCACAATAATTTTTTGATTGAGAAAACAGGAAAGAAATTGAATTTGATTAGCTAATTTGTTTTAATTGGCCCGAAAAGAAACCTTTAATTAGAATGACTACTATATATATGGTAAATAATTAATACATGATATTCTTTCTCCTCCAATATATCTGATCCCACCTCTGGTGCTCCAAGTGTTTAATCATTTTATTATATTGCTATTTGAAAAGCATTAAGAGATTGATCTCTATTTTCTTCATCTGTTTCACCTTGCTTATGAGAAAATATGAACAAAACGAACACTTCGATTTTCTTATGTATTTACAAATTTGTTCTATTCAAAATGTAATCATATTCCTCTATATTTATCTACAGAATCAGCCTCCTTTTTGTATTTATATGAAGCAGAATTTGTTCAAAATATTATTCATGAAATGAAGAAAACACTTGCTATCGCCTTCAATTCGACTTTGAGATATATCGACGACGTATTCTCAATTAGCAATCTTTTTTTTTCCATTTTTATGTTAACAAGAAATACCCCGGTGAGCTTGAAATAAAAGATACCACTGAGTCGAACAGATCTGTTTCATATTTAAAAATGTTATTAGAAAAGATGTTAATGGTGATCTAACAACAAAGCTTTATGATAAAACTTCCTTTACTTATCTATCGATAAACCCTTTTCACCTGCACACAGAGTTTATGTCTCTCAGTTGATTCGATACGCAAGAGTATGATATACGTATAAACAATTTTTAAAACGTGGTAAAGAGTAAAAGTTATTGGCAAAAAAGTTAATAAAACAAGAATATTAGCAATCTCGCATAAAGTCATAATTTCGTAAGTTCTATGGTCGATACAATAGTGTTGTCAGCAAATAGAATCTACAATTAAGTAATTGATGACTGACATTTCTCATATCAATTGTTAGGCCATTAGCTCACACACAGAATTGTCGACAGAATTTTCTGCTATTTCCTGATCATGTCGAGGAACACACGGTGGGTGTGACTGGTGAGCAGGGGATGCTCACTCCTCCATGGCACCTGATCCCATTTCTGATGTTTAAGAGGTCCGTGTTTGCTCTGTTCCTGATGAGTATTGATGAATGAACTATTGAGTTTGAATGCTGTCCGTTATCTCCATATATTCCATCTAGCAAAGGTCGATTTGTCTTACTTCGTAATAACAGGAATTGAGTGAAATAAACAGCAACCTTGACAGTTTTATATATTTTGTTTTCTTTATCTTGAAATGATCCCCATTTTCTATTATAATGACAAATATTGTTAAATCTTATTGCAGGCACCACTATCATCCAAATAATCAACTGATGAAAATATCCAAAACAAAAGGAGGACTATACCTTCTCATATTTAGGAGAACAATAACTATCAATGGCAAAACCATTCCTACAGCGAAATATTTTGAAGTTATAACACGTAATGTAATACTAGCCTTACCAAAGGTACCAATACAGCAGATTCAGATGCCAAACTCAAACAGTTCTGTTTTCCAATCGGCACTAAATTCCATAAAAGATGTGCAAGCTTCAAAAATTTTCCTTGTGTACGATTACCCTTGGTGGCTCGAGAAGCGCTTCAATTTTACATTCACCCAAGCCGATCTTCCGTACAGACAATCATTCCACTGGGGACTATCCCGTAATGGCAAAGGTGTTTTTCTCCTGTCATATGCTGACGATGAAGATGCTGTGTTTTGGGGTCTTCTTCAACAAAGGGGAAACGTTATCAGCAAAAGAAATGACGATACTCGGATAACAGATGAGGTTATCAGACACGCACACGATCAGATTTCGAAAGTTTACAAGATAGACTACAGAAATATTCCTGCTCCTGTTGACGGCATGATGCATGTTTGGAACAAATATCCTTTCAATGGAGGATGGGTGACTTGGAAACCCGGATCTAGATGGTATGACATCAAAAACTACCTGACATCACCATTTCCTCAAGACAAGATATTTATAGTCCACGGTTACTGGGGAGCTGAACATAATGGATGGGCTGAGAGTTCCTTGGAGGCTGCAGATGATGTTTTGACCCACTTTGGTGTACCGTCTTATCTTTCTTTCAACGTATAAAAGAGCATGAACAAAAACAGTCACAAAATATACATTATAGCTGAAAGTCCGATTCAATAAGTATGCGTGTGTAATTTTTGAATAACCTTACGTATTTTTGAAATGATCATCTCATCTTGACGTTTTAGGTCGAAGTCAATGACAGATTAAATTTGTTTTCTAGGTAAAAAGTTGACTTTCATCATTAAACTAAAAAAAGTGCCAAGAGAATTAAAATCAATTTTAACAATATACTTTAAGACAATGTATGAAATTTTGAATTTCTTGTTGCAAGTGTCATTCTGCAGTTCGGTCAGCCATAGTGTTTCCAGGGATGCCGATATGACTCGGAATCCAAAAAAAAACCTGTTTAACCTTGTTAAGTGAAATGATACATGAATAAAAATGTTTCAAATATATGGTTCATCAATATTCTTATTTAGTATGGATTGTAAAAAAGAGAGCGAGTCCTGAAATATTGTAAATATGTTTTCACTAAAAGATTTCTATATTCAAATGACAGCTGTATGACCTTTGCCTCTAATGTGCAAATTGTTGCTTTATTTGGAATCTGTGTAAGAATAGTACTATCTTTTATCTCTGCTGCTGATGCAACTTTATTTCCATTTTTTGAACCACCTGTATAAATCTCGACTGTAGAACCTTCAGTTAAAGATATGTATATACTTGGTTTTCTTAATTTCCATGTCGATATTTCGGATAAATTTATGATGTTTTATAATGTCCAAAGTTAGACAAATAATCTTGAATTTATCATCCAAAGTCAGTTGCCCCAAAAAGTATCAAAAAACGGCTGAGGATTTTCTGCTGATACAAAGGAAATGCAACTTTATTTTTATTTTTTAAAAAAGAAAAATTATTATTACGAAAGCATTCAAAATGGTGTTTCAAGTAGTCGTATTTGATAGAGATAAAATAACTATCTAATTAAAAACCATAGTGCAATTAAAAATTTTCAATATGTTAAAAATTATTCCATATTTACATTTAATTAATCTATGAAAAGAAGAATATGGATTTTGAGAATATGGCATCTTATTTTTTCTTTGATATTTCGGATAAATTCAAATTAACAAAAAGGTTTGTTTGTACTTGCAAAGTATACCAAATATGACTCTCAAGTTTTTGACTTTGAAAGTCAATGTAAACGTTTATTTTGAGACAGAAACAAACTGTCTTCTTTGTTTTTTCAAAAAAATTGTTATTTGTTAAACAATGCTTTGTTACAAATTAGAATACAGAAAATGATTATTAATATTGCAATATCTTTGCAATAGATATCATAATTATATATATCTAAATTGTTATCATTGTAAAACATCAAATAAAGTCATATTTCACACACCTTGTTACATGTCAGATGAAATAAAAAGCTGTATATTCCGAAAGTGCAAAATAACTACTTATTACAGATAATCTAAACATTATATCTACACAATTTATGGCATCTCACTTAAGTCTGGTGGGATTAAGCATTAAATTACATTTCAAAATCAATATGTAAATAAAACAAACAATGTAACGTAATTCACATACCAGACTGTAAGTATCAACACAGGATATAAGTGTGTTCTATGTAGTTCTTTAAATAAATTATTAATAATATTGAGTTTTTAACTTTTTCTTACACGTTAGACCTCTTTTTCCAGGTAAGTTTATTTGAGGCTCAGCATTACTTATTCTATATCAAATACGTTACACTGTTGTGGATAACGTTATTTATTAAAATTTATGATATCAGTAGAACATGTTTTAATGTTTCAAAAGTGAAAGTCCAATAGCAGCTATAACGATGAATTAGTTTTATTCGTTTAAAAGTCAAATTTTCAGTTTTAAAATAAATTTTAACACCACTGCATTAGTCAAAACCGTTCCCACCTGTTAACTTCCTTTCTACTAGTTCCCATATGATAAGCAATGACATTGAATTAAGATTCATGGTAATTTTGAACCTAGTTAGGATTTTTTTTACACCAAAAAGAAAATTGATTATAACGTAATTCACTGTAACGTAGTTCACGGACTTTACCTTTATTTCAAATATGAAACTGATTACGACGGTTTAAGGTAATGTCTATGTGTAATTTATAATGGGCATAAGTTTGTATCTCAGCCAGGATATTTGAAGTTCTTAGCATTTAGGAACTGTGCGCAAGATCGCGGAACGTAATTCACAATTAAATGCACAAATTGAAAGTTTTGAAAATTCGTGAATTTTTTGACACAAATGTTATCATTTGCCTGTAAATCATTATTCTTTTTTTAATTTTGATAACTTGATGATCAATTTTATCCATGTAACATAACTGTTTCTTTCAATTACAATTTCGTTAAAGCTGTGAGAAAATCGTAACGTAATCCACTGCATTGAATGGGACATTCATATTTCGCAGAGCAAAAATTTTTTTTCGGCTATCGCAGAGAAATTGTAAGTAAATATGAGTTGTTCATCCCTTTGTTGTTATGAAATACAATATTTAGCCTACTTTATTGGTATTAGTGAATTATTTTTTCGAACCTGAATACAACCACCCTTGTTTGTGACATCCTGTTTTGATCAAATTAGGGTTAGAAATCCTTTACTTTTGAAAAGTAAACTGGTTCAATGCATCGTAATATCAATATTTTCAAATCAATCATCACTTTACATAACATTAAACCCCCCAAACAACTAAAGATGTGCGGTTATGTCTTCAAAAATCGTTTGTGAGGTAACTGACTTTGGATGTTATACCTGTTCTTCTTTTATCTTTCTAAGCGTAATAATATTTGTTTTTAATCAAGTGTATTTGATTCTATATCAAATAGTAATTTATTAATTTAGGACAGGGTTTTAATGTTTGGTAAGTCGGGATGAAGTGTACACAATTTATTAAATCACAGGAATATACAAAGATGTATTACGAGTAAAACTACGTACGAGTTAATCGTAACAGTGCACCGGAAGTTTACCCCCTTTTCAAACTAGCAAATTATTCAATTAAACGCTTTTTAAGACAGAAAAAATTAAGCACGATCGTCGTCCCCAGGAATGAAATTATGCCACCAGTGAGAACTGAAGAGACCAAAGAAGGATCCAGGGAGTGGAGGGAGGTGAGGTTCTTGGAATCCCAGCGAGAGGCAGAGGGCAACGGGAGAAATGCAAACAACTCACTAGTGCTACAACCTCGCCACCACGCCGGGTCCCGGCCGAACCAACAGATGGAATCCCATCAGAAGCCCCACCGCCAACACCCGTGATAATTCAACCAACTTTGTCACCAATAATAACAAAGAAAAAAATAAAATCAGCTTCATGGTGTATTAGAATACTTTTTGAAAGCAAAAAATGTCACCCTGAGAGAATTGCACTCACTTATTGGCTTATTAAACTTTGCGTGCAAGGTTGTTGCCCCTGGTGCATGGGGCTTTCTGTCGCCGCCTTATATATTCAACAATAGGCGTTACTTAACAGTATCACAGAATTAAGGTAACAAAGAACATAAAAGCTGAGGTCACAGTATGGACAAACATTTTTGCAATCTTATAATGGCATATCCGTTATATATTCCCAGTCGTGGATTCACAACAACACAATTCAACTATTCACAGATAGCTCGGGGGGAACTAATGGGAGATTTGGCATTTATTTTAGGGGCAAATGGGCTTATGGGTCCTGGCCAAGCCTTTGGGCTGAACATGGTATTACCAGGGATGTGACTTTCCTGTAACTTTTCCTGGTCGTGGCCGCTATTATATTATGGCAGAGCTACTTTGCAAATTCTAGACTTGTTTTCCACATATTGACAACATGTCAGTCGTCCATGTCATCAACAACTCAACATCAAAATCTGATAGGGTCATGAATCTTGTCCGAAAGCTCGTGTTAATATGCCCAAAATCAATTATCTGCAGTAAGCAGTTATGTTTCCCCACAAAACAAAACGTCATTGCCGACTCCTTATTTCGATTTCAGTGGGGCAGATTCAGGCGACTGGCACAGCAGGCAGACCCATGGCCCACCCCACTACCACGCCACATCTTGGAAATATAAAGCTTGAAGCCGATCGAGGACACAACAAAATGTTTCATAGTTGAGTCCTCACTGGAAGGGCTACGTAGATCAATAGGTACAAAGAAAGACACGAGAATCCCCATTTCATTCGAACTGTTTCACAAAATTATCCATTCCCTGCCCAACGTTTGCAATTCTTGATACGAGTCTGGACTCTTTTCAGCAGCATTTACTCTAACATTTTACGGCTTGTTACGAGTAAGTGAAACACTGGCACATATTTTCTCAGATATCATAATTAAGCATCAAAATATTTGCCAGATCACTATTCAAAGGTCTAAAACCCACCAAATCGGCCAATCTGTCATAAAAAATATCACCACTCATATGGAATCTATTATCAGCCCAATCACAATCTTAAATAATTTTCTGCTCCAAAGGGAGGGTTAAAAAGAAATGACAGGTTCTTTACACATTTAAACTCTAAGCCTCTTACAAAGTACCAATTTCAAGCCATTTTACAAAAAGCATTACAATTCATTGGGGTCACAGGTCACTCTAGGTCACATAGTTTTATAATCGGCATGGCAACCGAGCTAGCCAAACAAGGTCTCTCAGATACTGAAATAAAAGTAAAAGGAAATTGGCGATCAACTTCTTATTTAACTTACATTAGAAGACAGTATAGTTGTTCCCCGTTATTATAGCGCCTACTAACTCTACCAAAGATTTTTCAGGTACCCCGACCATTTGGATAGTTGGATAATCAATTCCTTTCTAGGCAGGCCACCATGGTGCATCCTACCGACCAGGGGAAAGTAAACTAAATTTACCTGCAACAATTACTTGGTTAGGGCGTAGGGGTATGCATTGGGATCACTTGGACAAGGCAGTTTCTGGCCATTAAATTCATTCACAAAATACACTGCAGCCTGCATCGCAATAACGCACTTCTCCTTAGTACCACTTTAATCTTTTCCTCAATGTTGCCTATGCTCTTTTGACATGGTGCCCCTCCCGCAGCAGGTGCAAAAATAAAAAAAAAAACAAAACAGGGGTCAAGGTTAACAAGTCTATCAATAAGTTTTTAACCACTGAAGTAAATGGCTGTTATATAAACAATGACTCAACAATTATAGAATCTCGGAAATACAATTGTTCAGGCTTGATGGTACCCATTTGTCAAAAAAAAATGGTCTTCAGGTTTACCTTGATAACCTGCAGGCTGGTCTTCACATGTTTTTAAACAAGATTACCAATCCTCCGAATTAACTCAATGTTTTATTACAAATACTTACTATTTGTGGGTGGACATTGTGTCTATGTCCTGTGGCGGGGACTGGGGGATACTTTTGTGTATATTGGGATCAAGTGGCCCCATAACCTGGTTGTCTTTGCACCCTGCCTCAAAGCAGGGGGCGCGTTTTGGTAACTATGTAATACATAAGTACATGTAGCACATAAGTTGTCTAAAGTAACATTATATGGTAACATCCGTGGTTCATGGCCTGTTATGGCTGGTTGCACCTCCACCTCGCACAGTTGGGGGGAGGCCTCAGTCTTGTAAAGCAAATGGGTACACCAGGTGGCGCTGGGGACAGGTAGAAAGGCAGTCCCGCATACACTGGTCCAGAACGTGTTGACCGCTCGGATCGGGCTTACACTCGCCCCCCCCCCCCCTTTGTGCCCGATGTTATTTTGGTACATTTGTAGGTATCCCCCCCACCAAAAATTGCAGCTTTCTTATCTCCAATTATGTTGATTGTAACAAATGTGTTTTTGTGCTCAAAGTGTCAATAATAAAGCGATGAAACTTAATACAGGTGCTATCATTACAGGTGTTTACATGATAGGATAGCTCTGATCTGAGTTGTCTCTATGTCTGCTATCTTAGTAGGGGATGGACTCCGAAGCAAAGCGCTTGTGCTGCAAGTGCATTGTAGGAGGGTAGTACACTAAGCGGAAAATTGTGTAAAGGGATCATAATCCCTGTATCTTTAATTAATTAGATATCACCTGTGCACAGAAAAGTGTTACGAAACTTATAACAATCTATCTAATAATTTTAGTTTTTAAGCACAAAGCTAGTGAATTGTTGATTCATATTTTAAACAGGCTTTCCAAAATTTTAACAAACAACACTAGTGTATATTATATATTAACATTTTAAAGCTTTGTCTAAACTTCTTAAGATATTTATTTTAAATAAAGATTTCAAATATTAATTGAAATTATTTTGACTTAATATTATTATTTGAAATAAAATAAATTATCAGTTAAAGCATATTGCTAACACAGCTCAAATACAATTTAAGTTTTTCTGATTATGAAAAAAATAAATTAACAATTAAAGCATATTGCTTTCACAGCTCACAAAAAAAAAAAAAAAAAAAACGCATAGTAGAATTTTAGTGACACATTAATCATAAATATTATTTAGTAAAATGATGCATTGAAAAAGCACAAATGTAATAAGCAATAGGAATAACAGCCGACCAGTTGAAAAAATAGGACTTTAAATAAAAGAAGGAAGAGTTATTTGAAGTGTACACTTTATATCATCTAACTGTAAGCGCCAAAACATTGGAGATGTTTGTCAAAATTTATAATATTTGTCAAAATTTTACCTCATTCTAGAAATTGCTCATACGTTGAGCAAGCTCTTGCGTACATGAAAGAGTTAAAATGAGTGATCAAACATGATTAATCTAAAATAAATATATTCAATAAATGGCAGTGAATACAACGCTTTTGTTCTTGTTCCTTTATATGTTGAAAGAAAGATAAGATTGTACACCAATTTGAAACAAAACATAATCTGCGGCCTCCAACGAACTCTCAGCCCAACCATTATGTTCAGCTCCCCAGTAACCGTGGACGATAAATATCTTGTCTTGAGGAAATGGTGATGTCAGGTAGTTTTTGATGTCATACCATCTAGATCCGGGTTTCCAGATCAGCAGCCTACACGGAAAGGATACTATGTAAAACTTGGATTCAATGTTGTGGCCCCGCCCTACCCCCAGGGGTCATGATTTGAACAAACAAAGCACAAAGTATCCTTAGGTGAAGGTGAAGTACTAATATTAGTACATACAAATAGTACATACAAACACGCTTCATTAGTATTCACAAAGGAATGCTAATTCAAGGATAAAAAGAAATTTATTCACATCAAAGCAAAGGATTTTTACAAGCAATCTGAAATATAATCCACGAAAAATATACAGATAACACTACTTCATTATTAATATGTTTCGTGTTGGATTTTGTTGAGATGTCATTAATGCTTTATTTTAAGGGAGCTATTTGATGAAATTTAGCAAATATAATTATATATATTTCTAAATGTTAAACGTCATGTGTGCTTATTGTTTTATTCCTAAGAAAACAGTACAGTACATACAATGCCTTTATTTTTTGCAGTAAATGCAATATTTAATTATTTGAGGAAAAAACGTGATTTTGTAGGTACCCAATTTATTTAAATATTTTGCTACATGTACATATATTTGCTATTTTTGTAAATGATGGACTGCATTGTTCAAAGTTAAATTCTGAGTAAACTATATTTATCTAGAAATTGCTCAATTGTTTGCTTTAAGTAATTTATGAATTCGTTTTGTTTGTTTATGTTACGATCTTTTAATAGAAAAGCCGTACGTATTCAACTTTATCCGGTCTCAATATAAATGTAAATAGAAAACATGTAAATTGTTAAATGCAGTAATATGGTATACACGTTCATGTTATATGGAAACTCGGTAAATGTGTCAAATCTGGTAATCAGAAAGGCATTTAAATATTCGAAAATTACCCAGGGTCGTGTTAAAGATCATCAGATTTTATATAGCGTGAAGGACAGAGTTTGTAATACAAGAGACGTTTGCGGGAGTTTTTTGTGCGCATCTTTCTGCGCAATCGAAGCTCTTCAATCGAAGGAGTCTGGTAAAATGGGAAGGAATGTTGGTAAAATCAGGTGGCAAATGCTGGCCGGGCCAAAGGACAATTATAATTTATGAAAGGCATATCATTTTCTTTGTTTTTATAAAAAAAGAATAAGATAATAAAATTTTAATTTATCTGAAAATTTCAGTTCAATTATATAGGTATTTTGTAAGAAATTTGAAAAAAAATAAAATGTGCCCGGTTGTAAAAAGGTGCCTCATTTTACCAGGACACACAAAGATGGCGCCGTAGAGATCTGACATCGTCTGTCAAGCGGTCGAAACATGTTGAAAATGACTGATCGCGATCGAGTTGGGGGGAGATTTGTGAAAAAGGGTACAATGAATAGAAGATTAAACATGATGAAGATACGTGAGGCTACTGTGTAAGTATACATTGATATAATAATTACACATTTTTTGTCCTTTCATATCGATTACTTTATCAGCGTTTTTATCAGCAACAGTGATGCATTTGATCTTTTGTCTTACAAAATGAGGCTATTGAGTAGCTATTGACATTTGACAGTATGTGAATTAGATTACTAATCACAGTAATTCGCAGACCTGGTTCAAAATTTGCATCTGGGTCGAACTTGCAGACTAAATATAAAGCTTATGTTTTTGATATTCAGCAGTAAACAAAACACAACTTGGGTATTTATACAAATATTGATTTATAAATTTATAAATTTTATTACTAAGACTAGGTTGTTGTTTACTTTCAGGACTCAAAATGTTGCACAAACAGAAGGGCACACATGTGAATCGAATGATGAATCATGGAGAAAAGGGAGGCGAATCGTTGAGTTGGATCATATGGCGAAACAAATGAACTGTTGGGATTGTGGGCACACACTGACTTTAAATAACATCGTAAATGAAAGGCGTCAAGGGTTTGCTTCAAACCTGACTATTACCTGTGAGTGCGGTGTTCTGAATGAAGTAACAACTGGCAAGTCACACAGAGTTAATAAACGCGGACCTGCTGTGTTTGACATAAACACAAAGGCAGCTTTAGGTATTGATAGTTTATATACCATTATAGTCAATATTTAAATATAAAAATAACAATAAAAATTTTATGTGATAAAATTGAATACGTTGATTGACAGACATTTAGCAACAATTGATCATTATAGTAGAGGGTGGGGCACTGTCATGATTAGCAACTGAAAATATGGGCAAACTTTATCTTGCTAAGAAGAATTTACTTGTTTATTTATTATTCTGTTTTACCTTTTTCTTGTATGTACCTTATTGCAGCTGAAGTAAGTAAAACCGTAAGCTTGTAGTAGTTCTACCACTATTTATAGTAGTGCTAACCATACATCTATCTGTTGTAAAATTACCGGTATACTGGGTAATAGCTACTTAGACAAGAATGTCACGCTTTATACCCTCCTTTTGTGGTGCTTGGTACTAACAATTTTGTAACCCTTTGCACTCCTTCTGTGCTACATGTAAAACCTATATTTCATTGATATATTTCTAACAGCTTGCCTACTAGATTAGAATAATGACTCTTTTATCACTTTTATAAATGTAGCTTTGATAGAAACAATTATTTAAAAGCTATATTGAATTTAATTGTTTGATTTGAAAATATGTAATTGCTTTCCTATCATAAGAAAACTTTAATATTCCTTTATATCATTATCAGCCATAATTTCTACCAGTAATTTGTTGTTTTTGATTTTTTAACATTCTTCATATGTGTTGTTATTAGACTGACATACGATTAGATATATATAAAGTGACCTTAAATTATTATACAGGTATGCTTCATAGTGGATCCGGGCACACACAGGTCACCAACTTTATGTCTTCCATAGAGATAGAGGGTATGCACCATAGAACTATGAAAGCCCGTGAGTGTGAAGTGGAGCCACATATCCAATCTGTTGCCCAGCAGTCATGCAGTGAGGCCTTATTGGAGGAAATACAGGGCAATGTATCAGCAAGAAGGTACATGCTATATGGTTTTTATATACCCAAAAGATCATGTTATGCCAAAGTGTCCATCATCTCCATCCTCTATAACACACTGAAATGACAGGTTTCCATACTGTTTCAAGTTCTGTAGGTCAAAGATCAACTTCACACTGATAGGTCCAAATTGGGGCTGGTTTATATATAACCCTTAGGCCAGATTTGATTACATGCTAAAGTGAGCTAGGATAAGCACAATTTATAAAAAAAAAGGAAGTGCTGTTATGAATAATTGATGACTCACTCTTATACTTTTGCTATAAAATATATACCGGTATACATTATTTCTTACGAGTCTTAAAATGAGTTTTCTTGTTTCCAGTGTAAATGAATCCAATGACGGTCAGCAGGCTCGCAGCTCTGGGGAGTTTAAGTACGACATGGGATGGCAGAAGCGTGGGTCAGGAAGGGCCTATAACAGTAAATCTGGAGTGGGAACATTAATCGGCAACAAGTCCGGGAAAATATGTGGCTTTGGTGTTCGATCAAAGGATTGTCGCAAATGTTCCTTTCATACAAATATGGGGAAAACTCCTCCAGAACATAAGTGCTGTAAAAATTGGGAGGGCTCGTCAAAAGCAATGGAGAGTAACGTTGCAGTTGAATTAGTGAACAAAATTGAAAAAGAAAATGTTGAAGTATCAGTGTTAGTTATGGATGACGACTGCACAACAATGGCACGAATCAATGAAGAAATTCCACATCCGGTGATCAAATGGAGTGACATTAGTCACACTAAAAAGCATCTTGGTAACAGTTTATACCAACTACAAAAGAAACACAAGAATTTCAACAACAATTGTGTCAAGTATTTTCAAAAATGCTTCTCTTACGCTATTGTACAAAATAAAAATGATACAGAAGCATTAAAGAAAAACCTAAAGCAAATAGTGCCACATGCTTTTGGAGAGCATGACCAGTGTGACTCAAAATGGTGTACTTATAAAACTAATCCTGAAGAGTTCCGCCACAAGTCCCTTCCATCTGGAAAAGATCTACAGGGTGATGAATTAAAAAATGACCTGAACATTATATTTGAAACATTTATCAATAATGCTCACAAGATTTCCCCTGCTGCATCTACTAGAGATGTTGAATCATTCAATAATTCAATTGCTGCAAAAGCCCCCAAAAGACTGCACTATTCTTCATCATCTAGTTTGCAAAATAGAGTTAGTTGTGCAGTAGCAGAGAAAAACATGGGCTCAACATACGTCAACAAAGTTAACGAACTGGTGGGTGTTTCGCCTGGACGAGTTTTTCAAAAACTTGCAGAAAAAAAAGACAAAACGCGCAAACGCAGACTCGCGTATGAAAATACAAGAGAATTCAAAAAAAGAAAACTTGAAAGAAAATTAAAAAACAGTACCATGAATTCCGCTTCTCAAATTCGGGAAGGAGTAACTTATCAGTCATCTGTTGATTTGACACAATCTGACGGCGAGTTTGTCAAAGAAATACCTGCTCCAAGCATTGTACCAACTGTCACTCCATGTATATTACCAAAGAAATATACCTTTGTGTATTGTGACATCGAAACAACATCTCTTAATAAAACGTGTGATATCATTCAGATTGCGGCTGTTTCAGAAAATGGCAAGTTTTCGAAATACATCTTACCTAGTCAACGAATTTCAACAGCAGCTTCTCAAGTCACTGGACTGACTGTTCATGGAAATGTTTTGCATTTGAATGGTACTCCTGTAACATCCGTTTCATTGCAACTTGCATTGGCATCATTTCTGGCATGGTTAGATGATCAAAAGCCTTGTATTTTTGTAGGACATAATTTCTTGAGGTTTGATTTACCTAGGGTCTTACGAAATTTTGAAATTTGTCATTTTCTTCATGCTTTAGAACCAGTTGTATTAGGTGTAGTAGACACACTACTTCTGTTTAGAGAAGTTTATCCTGGTCTGGAAAAATATTCACAAGAGTTTCTTGTTACATATTTTTTAAATGAAAACTATGCAGCTCACAATGCTGAGGATGATGTTCTTGTTCTTCAAAAACTTGTTCAACATGTAAAACCGTGCACTGAAGTTCTTGTACGCCACAGTTCAAGTATGCATACCTTGGTTGAGAAGTACCTTTTTGACAAAATTGTAGATAAAAACTTAAACACCTTGTTAGTTTTATGCAATGATAAGATACTTTCAAAGCAAATGTGTAAAAAGATTGCTGAAAGTGGATTAAACTTAGGTCATCTAAAACTTGCTCACACCAGAGGTGGTTTAAAAACACTCTTGTCTGAAAAATTCGATGGGAAACCTCGAGTAACATCAAAAAAATGTTTACTTGAAAAAGTAAATAAGTATTTTGAAGACAAACAGTAAGGCAAAACAAATTTTAGCTGAATGTAACAATAGACATTAGACGTTTAATTGGCTGTATTTGTACATGTATAGTTTTTTTGCATCTTAGTTTTACAAGCTCTGTATAGCTGTAAACATTTGAATGTATATATGGCCATACCAATTAGAAAAGTAAATAATATTTCTGTAGTTTTTTAATTTCAGCATTTAAGGGACATTATCCCTCTGCTAAGAAGGATAACTTCTTTTTTAAATTTTTCACAAATTCATCATAGATCTAATGTAAATTTGTAAATAAGAAAAACAAAACCCTGTATGTAACCTGCATTATACCACGTTGTATAAGGTTTTGTATTTGGTTTTAAAGTCATTGTTGTGTTCATGAAAATCAATATTAGAAATTTAAAATTTCCATAGTGAAATTTAGAGGAGAGGGTCAGGACCCCTTAAAGAGGAATTTCAGATGTAATATGTTGCATTGGGGTTTTTTTGTAATTGAAATCAAAATCTAAGAAAAAATGTATGTTTTTCTTATGTTGATGCATATTTTACAACCTCTGACATTGAAAAACGTCTAACATCGTGCTAGCAAATGTTGTTTTATTTACTAAATGAATATGATGACCCCCATTTTTCTTTATATCATTATTATCAGTATACTTAAATGTACAATATGTATGAATTTAAAAAAAAATAAATTCGTCAAACTTTTTTTATTGACTTTTTAATGCGTAAATTGTATAAATTATGCGAAAACAATGTACATTTGGTTAGATAAATGATAATTTGAAAAATGATATTCTGTTTGTGTTTTTTCTTATATTCAATCAATATCTGAATTCAACATCTTGTTTGTAGTGTATACTGACTTGTATGATAAAATGAAAAAGTTAGAACTCTGATAAATATATAAAAAGTAGTATATTTTTAAGATAGTGTGTAATTGAAAAATGGTCAGAATTTCACTCAATAATTGATTAACGGTCAGTTTTAAAAATTCTTCACAACAAAAAAACTAATCTGATAACCATACCTTTTCTTTTTATATTTGCATAAAGCATACTCTAAGGAAGGAAATATGTAAAAAAGAAAAAAAAATAAATTCGGAAAAAAAATTATAGAAATCGTCTTTAGGACAGGCAATAAATCGTCGAGTTTTTTATCATTCTTTCGAAAGCCAGAAATAATAGTTATCTACCAGAGATATAAATTTATAATTTTATTAAATTTAAGAAATGCATGGGTTTTTTTCATAATGCTTCATTTTCGCTAACTTTGTGCTATTTTGACGGAAAAAAGTAGAGAGATGATCAAACTAAAAAAATTACGACAAGTATGAATGACAGAGAAATTTGTTAGATGTCTCATTTAATTTCTTGAAATATTTTTTAATTGAAAATCATATTAGGCCTGTAGGAAGTCAAGATGAATTTAAAAGTATAATTAAAAAAAATCCCGAGCAGGTAGGAATTCAATGGCATCTTTTCCCTTGTATTATGAGATATGTTTGAACATATTTCAAATAATTTGATAAAAGTCCCGATATAAATATACATGTATATATCATGTTCCTAATTTTAAGGTCTCTTATTAATTTTTCACACTTATTTTTAAATGCCTCTATTTGATTTTATCAAGTTATCTTACGACAAGAAATATAGAGTTCTTTTGCACAATGCGAGAACGACAATGCTTAATGGTTTCGTAGAATTACAAGAATAACTCTTTGTCATGTTAATTAAAATTCCTTTCAGATAAGTACATTGTGTGTAATTCATTTGTGAAATTTATGTGGAAATTGAAAAATCCTTTAAAAATCATTTGTTCCCTAAATGTGATTCCTGGTAGTTTTAAATTTGGCAATTCCAGGTAATACATACAAAAGATATAATTTCTAAATCCACACAATATTCATAAACCGCTTACCAGAAGAAACCGAACAACATGTTGCATCCTTCTCCGTTGATTTACATCTTATCTTGCGTCGAAATTGAAAGTGAGTATATTGTTTCAAGATAAAATCTTATTTTTCATTAGGCTTGTCTTAAATCAGCTTTTAAATAATTATTGAGCATACAGTACATTGCAAATTTGAAATGATAGCAACTACCCTTTTCTGTTAAGTATTATATACAATGTATGTGAGAACCAGAAATGCAATTATATATCTTTGTTTAATTTATCAGCAAAGATACATGTACGGGATCTGTCGATGGCTCTCGATTAGTCTACAAGGTTAACGTAACAATAACAAGTTACTTTTCCCACATAAATTAGGCCTGGTAAACTTATATAGCTGCATTATGAAGATACATGATTTTTGGAATACATGTACATCAGTACTTTTCATATGATTTAAAAAGAAATTCCATGCGTTCCGAATAGACGAGTATCCGTTCATGATCATTGAACTGATACACTTTCTGCAGTGAATTAGTTTTTATTGTGATTTTCAAGGTAACAGGAAAATATATCAACTTAATCTGTTTTGGTGAAAAATCAGTTGAGGTATAATACATACTGTTCATCTGCATCTTGACCGTTCAAAGTAGCTCAGTCGGTAGAGCGCTCGCTCCGAGTTCGGGAGGTCGTGAGTTCGTATCTCGGCCGCGACTGACCCAGTCGATAAAATGGGTAGCAACTTTTCCTTCGCCATGGGCTCGGCACTTTAAAGTAAAAGTTGCGGGTCTTTCGGATGATACCTTAAAAACCGAGGCCCCGTGTCAGCGGCATGCATTGGCACGATAAAGATCCCTCACTGCTCAATGGCCCTGAGTGCCGAGTAAATGTCAAAATTTGAAGCCCTTTATCGGCATACGGTGACGTCTCCATATGAGTGAAAAATTCTCGAGAGGGACGTTGAACAATATACAATCAATCAATCAATCATCTGCATCTTGCTCATGTAAACATGCTAAATAAATATGTTAACATGAAAGTTACTTGTCTTAGTAGAAAACATGATTTAAAGAATGTTTTATTTACTTGCTCACATGAGGCCATTATCTAAAAGCATACATGCAAATGCAAGATAATTATGTTGACACGCGGCTTATTTATGTCAACATGCAAGATAATTATGTAGACATGCAGCTTTTTTGTCAACATGCAAGATAATAATGCTGACATATCACTTATTTTAGTCAGCATACAAAATAAATATGTAGACATGCGACATTTTTTATGACAACATGTAAGATGATAATGATAACATACGAGTTAATTATGTTAACATGCAAGCTATGTATGGTGGCATACAACTTATTATCTTGCATGTTGACGGAATGTTTTGCATGTTACAGTTAAACCCAGTGAAAGCGAAGTCTTGGGACCTGTGAATTTAATTAGCTATATCCATAATTCGTTATGTCCATATAACAATTTTGTATAACCATATATAGCGAATTTGCAATATGCACGTTTTCCTTCAAGTATTACTTTCAAATATGTTAGGGAAGCAAATTTTACAAAACATACTTTCGATAACTAAAGTTTTATTATGAATTGAATTTTATATGCAAATGCTTAAAGAAAATAAAATCAGTTCAATGTATCAAATTTTGAGATCATTGAAAGTTAGTTATAAATGATGTTACTTTCATTATATTCAACCTCAACAGTAATCAAGATCAGTTCACTATATCCGTAAATTCGTTATATCAGAGTTAGTTATAACCGTAAAAGTTTACAAACATTTATTTAGGATTTGCCGGGGACCCAGAAAAACTTCTTTCTAACCGTGAATTCGCTATATCCGTGTAAGCACTAAATGAATTTTACTGAAACATAAATAATTTGCATGTCTACATAATCGTCTTGCATTTCAACATAATTATGTTGTATCTGCCATGAAAATCTCAGATAATCGCGTAATAAGTAAATGTACCCATACTAAAATACTTTCTCTGATTTGATTGGTAACTAGCATTCTCACATAATTTTCGTGCATTTTGACGATTTTTTCTTGCATATTAACATAATCTATTTTGCACATAGGGATCAGTCATATAATTATACATGTTCAATTATTGTCGATAAACTTTTTGAAGTTAATTATCTGCTCTTTCGAGTTTAAATAAATCTTATTTCAAGGAACATCCTCTTCTTTGAGTTATACTCCTGCGAATAACCCCATAAATATGGACAATATTTCACATTCCGTACACCTGTGTGCGTTTAATTGTTTGACATTCTTAGAAAGCCTTTATATGCTAGTTCCAGAAAATATATATTTAGTATTTGCATTATTCTCCAGAAGGCATTGTACCAGTACAGTTTTTTTTACTGAGAGTACACACACTGAGTTTTGCAAGTTATGACTGAAACGTCCTATTCAATCATTGGATTTATTTATACAAAGTATACACATTTAAGTTATTTTCCTCTCATCTTCTTTTCAACAATGATTCATGATAGAGATGTATTTTTCATAAAACTGATGCTACATATGTATCAGCTGATTCAAGGATGAAACAAATAACTGTTCTCTGTTTATGAGAGGAGGTATCACTACAATATAAAAATATTTCTTCCCGTACTAAGGTATTATCTGTGAAATTGAGCATATTGTATTTGTAATTTGATTTATTTCATATGAAATTTATTGTGAACTGCGTTCGTCCTTTTGCATATCAAGAATTTGAAAATGTATTCAAAAATGAATATTTTTAAGTAACGTGAAGGAAAAGTGAACAATTGACTGAGACAATTTTGAAGTTATTCAGATCATTTGTAATGGTGTCTTTTTTCAAATATGAATCCTGTAAAACTTAAATGTTCTACCAATGCATATATGCAAAATATAATGTATTTAAACATTGTCTTTAGATGCTCATAGATAAAAACATTTCAATTAAACACCGAAATACTTGAAAAACTTCATCGTTCAGGGTCTTTCGGGAGTTTGACAAACATTGCATTAGACAGATTTTTCGAATAGTTTAACATAACATTTATAGAGCCCCCATGGAATACCTAAGTTTAGAAGACCTTGAATCTACTCTGTTAACCATTTGTGAGAAGCTAAAAAAATCATTTAAGAAAGGAAATGACCCTAGGATGCACTTCGCTCAATATTCGTTTACATTGTAGATACCCAGTAGCAGAGAAGTTAAAGAGAATCTTAAGTTGATGTCAAAACCTCTTCGGCCAAAATTAACAGGAATCTCAAGTATTATAATCTGCATATGAAGTGTACAACAGGATACAAATAAGTCATTTGAGTGGAAAACACCATGTTTACTCCTACAGTAAGATCCCTTTGATGGAATGAATTTATTTATCTTAATAACACAAAAATCTTTAATAACTGAATACAAAGTAGTCTTTTATCCGGTAAAATGCTTTGTTGTTATCTCACTAAATCACACTAACAATTTTTGTAAACATTTGAAATTACTATCACGATATAATTGTTTCCTGACTAGCATAATATTTTCAAAAACGAGCAAAGACTAAGCTCTGATTTGTTTCTGCAGCGATTAACGTGCAAATAGAGATTGTAATGAAAATTTGAAAATGTGAACTCTTAATAGAGCTTTATAATTTTTAATTATGCAAATTATAATTTACAATTTATCATTTAAAGAATTCCCTAGACAATAAACTTCCAAAACCTTTTGATAAACTGAAAGTGAAAGAGGAAGAAGAAATTTTGATAGAAAGATACGGTGGAAAAGGTAAATATTTTTTTAAAAAAATAATCTTATTTTTTACCATCCAGAAAATTGCGTTAAAAGATTTAGGGCACTTATGTAAATGTTCAGTTCAAATTCCTGATTAAAATTGTTAATAGCAC